TGGGGGAGCTGGGGGGGCTCAGCCTGGAGAAGAGGAGGCTGAGGGGAGCCCTCATCGCTCTCTGCAACTGCCTGAAAGGAGGCTGGAGCCGGGGGGGGTCAGTCTCTTCTCCCCAGGAACAAGTGATAGGATGAGAGGAAACGGCCTCAAGCTGCGCCAGGGGAGGTTTAGATATTAGGAAAAACTTCTTCACGGAGAGAGTGGTCAGGCGTTGGAACAGCCTGCCCAGGGAAGTGGTGCAATCACAGTCCCTGGAAGTATTCAAAAAACGTGTGGATGTGGTGCTTAGGGGCACGGTTTAGTGGTGGACTTGGCAGGTAACGGTTGGGCCTGATGATCTTAAAGGTCTTTTCCAACCTAAATGATTCTATGATTCCTGGTGAGATGACTCTGTGAAACTCTCATTGCAGCAGCCACGTGGTTGGGCTCAACCTGCCTCTGCCTGGGCTTGGCCATACCAAAACTGCACCCTAAAAGCACCCCTATAGGTGTGCTTCTCCAGCGCAGCCCTTCCAGAGCAGTAAAGAGAAGCTGAAGGCAGGCACGCTGGCCTCCCCGGCCACTGCGCCTGGCCCTCGGCTCCCAGCGCAGCCCCGCAGCGAGTGGGATGGCGGCAGAGTCCCTCCTCGCCCCTTCCCAGCTCAAGCCCCCAGCACACACGCCTGGCCAGCCAGCTCCCACAGCAGGGATCGACCCACGGAGGTACCTGCCCCGCTGGCACTCACCGTTTACTTAGTTTTCTGGAGAAGGAGAAACCTTAGGGTATTTTTTTCTCCTTGCTTCTCGCCTTCAGCATAGTGGGAGCAGGAGCAGAGGGGTTATGGGAGCTCCCCAAGCTCTTCATTAGGAGCTCCAGCACCTGAACTGAAGCAGTTTTACACACTGAATTTACCAGAAGCAAACATAAGTCATAAACACTGGAGGAAATAGTAAATATCAATTTTAAAAGCCTGGTTACAGCTTCCTTCCCCAGCCTGGATCAGCCGCAGAGCTTGACTGAGAGCGGCCAGTGCAGGGCACAGCACAGACAGCAGCGGTCCGAGGGGATGGATCCTGTCCCAGGAAACGGGGGCTGTCCGCTCCAGACGACAGCCCCTCCGCGCAGGGCTGGAGCTCCGCGGAGCGCAGATCCCCGTTCCAGTGGCAGGGAGACAACCGCCCGACCGGCTCAACCCACGGGAGGCTGCCAGGCGAGAAATAACACGACCCATGCAGGCTGCAACAGGGAGGGAAGGCTTTTATTGATATAAAAGTGTATATAAATAATTCTGTCCCTTTCTTAGAGCAGGTGAGGAAGCAGTCCATCTCCAGCACAACCTCTGCGGGGGTCCCTGTGCCTCAGCCCCACTGCAGGTTGGGGGGGACTGGCCACCCCCCAGGTGGGGGGGCCTGCAGGGACGGGGGCAGATCCTGCACTGGTGGCCAGCCCGGCGGGTACTGGAAAGGCGCTGGTTTCTCAGGCAGAGCACTGCGGAGGTGGGGAGATGGAAGGGACAGAGGGGAGATGGGGCCGTCTCAGTTTGAAAGCAAGACCCTGCTGAGCGGCTGAGCTTCCCTGCGCGCCTTCCGCTAGCCCCCAAAAGAGGAGGGGTCCAGCAGAGGAGGGTTTTGGTTATCAAGAAGCAGGTATATTCCCCCCCTGCCACCAAATCCAACAGCACAACTGCTGCGTAACCCCCCCCCCCCCCCCCCCTGAGGGAAGAAAAGCACCCTTAGGTATTATAAGGTGGGAGCACTAAGTTAAGGGGGTCTGCCGGGGGGGAGAGCAGGCGCAGCCCCCCGAGAGGGGCAGCAGCGCCAGCCCCAGCCAGCTGACAGCAGGAGAGGCCCCGTGCTGGGAGCATGGCTGGCCCCGTCCCCTCCCACCCCCAGCTGCTCTCCACTCTCCACACAGCTGAGTTTTGAGAAGAACAAACAAAATTAGCAGATGTTTCTTTCCGAGCAGCCTGAATCCCAAGCCAGCTGTGCACTTCCCAAAGGACAAGGACCCCTCGGAAACGGAGAAACTGCCAGAACGATGGGGTGTTTTCACAGAAGCACCCTTCAGCAGAGGGAACAGGCTTCCTCCTCCAACTCACAGCCTGGGAAACACTTTTTCTGTCTCTCTCCCTCAAGTTTACTAGTTGAGGCTGCTGCAAACACCACACCTGACTGAAGAAGTGCAAAAGCAAGAAGCATTGCTCCCTCTTCTCCAGCTGAAGAAAGTGCTTGGCCGGGGCAGGTTTAAATTAATGGGAAACATACCTTTTCCATTAATTCCTGAGTGCAGGAAACTCATTTGTTCTTTAGCGCAAGCCTTGGCAGCAGCCTTCCAGCTTCTCAGGCCTCTACCTCTGATCCTGATGAATCTTTTTAATTGTTATGCCAGAAGATATCTAATCAAACTCCTTTACATTATACTCCGGAGAAGCAGCACCCTCCTCTCCCTGCAGGGCCGACGACGTGGCCGAAAGCCAGCTATAGAAGTTGAGTGCGGTGTTTTCTAGGCAACTAACACAGAGCAAAGTCATTTGGTCTGATGCTTATCCCCTTGATGGGGATTCTTCAGAGCCGAGGATGAGACAAGACTGCTAGGACACACACCAGGCCCCTCTCAGGCAGGAATATTTTTTGTTACATCCAGGCACTGTCGCTCACGCAGGCAGGGGAGCCCCCGCAGCAGCAGTACGGTGGGGTGGGGAGCAGGACAAGGCATGCTGCAAGGTGGAACAGCACAGCTATCAACTAATGAGCTGTTCTGTGAGCAGCAGAACTAATCAATAGGGATGATGCTGTCTGGGTACGCAATTCCCTGGGGTCTCATAAGATACGAGTGCTATCCAAGGTTTACCTACAGCTGGAGCATTCAGAATGGTTGTCCCATGTGGATTCTCTGGTGTCTAGCAAGGGTCAAGAATATTTCCTTTCTGAAGGCATTAATGGGATCCCTCTCCTCTACCTACTCCCACGTTCACGAAACCTGTAGTATCTTACTGTCTTTGAGGCCTCAGACCCCCTTTCTGATGGAGATCAGCAAGTGGGCTCCACGGCAGTTATGGCGGAAGCACACACTCACGTGCGCTGCCATGCTCCGTTTCCTTTGGAAATCAGGTGAAAAAAATCAATCACACCCTGGCAGAGCTCCGCTACCAAGAGAACTACACGAACCCCATCCAACTCCACCTCAGCTCTCCAGAAAGCAACGGCACAGCGTGACTTTGAAAAAACGCATTGGGTAAGAGGCTTCCAAATGAAGATTGTCCCCTTGAGCCCAGCCAGGCTGGGAGAGCGGCTGCACTAACGATGGGTGGAAGGCAGCGCGGCAACTCTCGATCCATGGGGCTAAGCTAGGTGACAGTCAGAAACGGTGCTCAAGTTACTGCCTTTAAGAAAGTGCTACCCTTCAGCCAAGGCAATACCTGGCCACATGGCCACTTCTAGTCCAGCGCAGTGTTTTCTTTGCACTGTGGTGTACTTGGAGACCATGCAAGGCAGTAGCTCCACTGGGTATCCTGCTAGAAAGCCGCTGGCAAGGCAGAGACAGAAACTCAGCTACGCTCGCAGGCTGAGGCTTAACACAGCAACAGCTTCCCATCACACTTTGGGAGATCACGCTTCCAAGACCTCTTCCATCCCAGTGTGAATCCTTCCTACTCAGTGCTGCCAGAGAAGACAGAAGTGGAGCTGGGTCTCCAGCATCCCCTGTTAGAGATGACTGCCCTCAAGAGCACTTTCTCTACTGTTTTGTGCAGACCACTGGTCTTTACTGACATCGCCAACCAGGCAAGGCAGCCCCTAGGCAGATTATCATCCAAAACCACAAATTCCCCAAAGCAGTGTTAGACCCTGCCAGAGATTCTGCCACATTTCAGGGACCTTGAGGACTGCGATAGGACGAGAGGAAACGGCCTCAAGCTGCGCCAGGGGAGGTTTAGGTTGGGTATTAGGAAAAACTTATTCACCGAAAGGGCTGTCAGGCCCTGGCACAGGCTGGCCCGGAACGTGGGTGAGAGCCCACCCCGTTGGGTATTAGGAAAAACTTATTCACCGAAAGGGCTGTCAGGCCCTGGCACAGGCTGCCCAGGAAAGTGGTTGAGTCCCCACCCCTGGAGGTATTTAAAAGCCAGTGAGATGTGGTGCTTAGGGACATGGTTTAGTGGTGGACTTGGCAGCGCTAGGTTAACGGTTGGACCTGATGATCTTAAAGGTCTTTTCCAACCTGAACGATTCTATGACTGCAGAAGGGAGAGGGAGCTCCTTGTTCTTAAAAGCATTTTCAGGAGGAACACAGACTCCCCAGGCACCAGGAGCACAGGGATCTGCCTAAAACAGGCCCTCTTCCCTGGCAATGCAAAACAACTTCTCTGGCCGACAAAACAAAACACACAGTTGCTCAGAAGGGCAATGCTGGGGCTGGAGAGCACAAGGGGAGAAGAGAAACAAAAGGGACAGGCGTCGGCAAGGCCAGATAGAGAAAGAGAAGCTTTGAATAGTTGGTGCTTAGTTCCTGTAGTAGGCGGTTTCTGAGCCTGCAGGGACACAGAGGCTGGGTAGAAAGCAACAACCCTAAAAATCCCAGGTCTTGTGCACCTTTGGAGGCAGCAGGGACTAAGTAGTTACGAAGGTCTGGAAATTGCTCTGGGTATAGCGATGGCTATCTTCTGTAAGAGATGATCTACCCCAAGACCAAGGGACTCAGGGGCAGGACAAGCAAAATGGGGCAAGTGAAGTGTATGGAGGGTAGGAAGGTTACGGCTGTCAGTGAGCACCGCTGCAAGGCTAAGGGCAGCCAAACTGATGGATGGAGCGAACAGAAAGCAACAAGCCCAGACAAGCACCAGAAGGAAGATCCTGCCCAGATCAAACACAGAGAGGACAGGAGCAAACTGAAAAAGAACAAAAGAGAGATTTGGCACCTGCCCAAATGTCATCCAATTAAGCCTGCGGCACAGTCAGGTGAGCAAGGAAACAGCAGGCACCGGCAGGCACCGGAATCCGAATGAATGCCGCGAGGAGGAGCTAATTCCACCCTCTCACTGGCAGGGACTGGCAGAGATGTGCAGACAGAGGATGGAGAAGCTGTCAACAGCTGAGACTGGGCTCCTGCCACTTAACTCCGGGCATTAATAACTCAGCCCCATGGTGGCACTGTCCTTCCAGGCACATCTGCGCACTCTGCAGAGAGCACAGGAGTACCCCTCTGCTCGCCTTCCCCAGGGAAGCAGCCACAGGCAGCAAGGCTCGGGGGGTCCCAGCGAGTTGGGACCTCTGATCACCCGTGCCTTCTCCTATCCCACTCACACCCCTCTTGTGGGATCCCCCCTCTGCATCGTGTGGGCCAGCAGCAGCAGCCAGCCCTCACACGGATGCTCTCCAGCCACCAGTACCTGTTACTCTGAGCCGCGCTCAGTCTCTTTGCTCTCTTCTCCAGCCAGTCCTCAATGGTGCCAGGCGGGACATCTGCTCCCTCCTGCCGCAGCTCCTTCAACCTTTGCTCCCCTGGTTGAGAGAGAGAAAGGGCTATCAGACGCTTGCGCTGCAGTCCTTTCACTCCATTAAACCCGCTGCTCATTACCCTGCATAGGTTCTTATGGTGGAGTTTGCAATTTGCCTGTGGCGGCCCCTCCTCCTCCACTGTTCACCCGCCATCTGATGCTTGGCCTCCTCACTGGTGACAGCTCCAGCCAGACAGAGCCGGGAACAAGAACTAAGCCAGAGAGCACAGCAGCAGTTCGGGCACTTAACTGAAGGGAGTCTGACATCTCCCCCCCGGGGCAGATCATCCTCATCCTCGCCTGGAACAGCCTCTGCTGGCCCCAAGCCCTGAGCCATTTCCAAAGACGTGTCCCTCCTACTGGCAGGAGGGACTTTGCCACCTCTGCCCACTTAGGAGGGAGTGACAGGGACGTCTGTCCAGATCGATGCAGACTTGGCAGGCCGCGGGAGTCTGAAAGGTTCAGAGTGCGCGTACAAGCAGGAGACGGGATTTCAGAGATGCTGTCAGGTCTGTTTAAGGCGCGTGCTGCGTGATGCATCCCCAGCCCCTGCAGAGACAGGGTGGGAGGCTGTTGCCCAGCTCTGCTCAGCCCAGGTGCAAAATCAGAGCAGAGCATGGCAGAGGGAGGGAGGAAGGGAGGGGAACAAGTTCCTGTATTTTCTCATGTAAGTTAGGAACAAGCAAGGAGACCAGTAGGAAACCTCTGCTGTCTACCAAGGGACAGGGCAGCCTGACGTCCTTTCAAGCTTTCAACCCCTCCACCACCCCATCCTGCAGCACTGTCCTCTCTGGGCAGAAGGGCACAGAGCCAGCAGGACAGTCCAGCACTCACCAGTCCCTCCCACCAGGCAGAAATCCGCAGCTGCCCAGTTAGCAAAGCTCCTCGGTCCCCCCTCAGCACCAGTGACAAAGCAGGAAGGGATGCTAGTGGAGAACAGGGTCTAGCACGAGTCCTCGACACAAACAACAGTCATGCTCCTGACAGCGCGTCAGGCAGCGCAGGCTGAAGAGATGCTCAGAGCTATTAGAGCTCCAGCCTAGTGGAAAGTTCCCACCTAACAGAAAAGGGAATGCGATACTTTGAAAAACAAACACTGATATTAATAAGAAGGAAGCCGAGGCAGCTGTGTGTCATTCCCCTTTGCCCGGCTCATCAAACCCTCCAGGGACAAGCGCTCTGGGGGAACCCTGATCCCATTTAGAGATCAACCCACCAGCAGTCCCACGGTGGCAGCCATCCTGCAGCCGTGCCCACCAGGAGCCTCCTCCACACCTACCCGCCATATGTCACACGGTTAAGGAAAATATTATACATTTCCAGACAGGGTGTGAAATTAATATTGCTTGGGCAGAGTGAAGGATCACTTCATCCTAGTGGTGGCAACCAATTATTCATCTGCCTGTTGAATATTAATAAGGATGGCAGGAACGTGCTACACAATGAGCAGCCGGAGATGGATAATTTGTCATCCAGCCTTTTCATCTGCTGCTGCTGAGAGGGGTGACGATGTACTCGCTGCCACCACAAAGACAGCCTGCTGTGGTCCTGATGTCGAGGTGCTGCTCTGCAACCCGGCGATAAGGGTACAGTTGGAAACAGGACTGTTCAAGTTTCCTACAGTTGTTCCCAAGGAGCAAAGCCCCAGCAGAGCTATTTTGGGTCACCCCAAGAGCCTGGCCACACGAGAGCAGTGGGGAGGCAAGAAGCTCAGTCTGGTGAACCGGGCACTGCTCAGTCTCAGGGTATCTGAATTCAGCTCCCGGATTAGACTTTTCCAGCAACGTTGGCTACAGCCACTTTATTTCCATTTGTTTCAGGTTTCTCCACCTAGCGAGTGCCTGGGCACACCCCACCTCAGCAAGGGGACAAGCACTGGTTGTGAGATGCTTCAATGAGGCAGGGAAGAAAATCACAGAGAGAAACCGCTCCCACCACTCCAAGCCCCAACACAGAACAGCCCAAAAACTGCCAAAGCCTCTCTCTTTAGAGCAGGGAGCCCCAGGGCCACTGCCCCAAAGTGCCACAGCAGGAACTGGTGGGAGCCCATGGACTGAAGCAGCCACAACCCACTGGTCTCGTCCAGAAAACCTCACTGGCTGCAGTGGAACGACTCCAGACTCACACTGGCCTAAATGAGGCGCCAGGTGTCCAGACTAGAAAGACATCCAGCTGGCTCCCCATTCACACAGCTCCACAAGTTACTGCTCCAAAGTAACTCCAACCTGTGGGCTGAGAAGTGCGGCAGCAGGTACAGGCAACTGTCTGGCTCTGTCCACCTTGGCATGTGCCCATCAAAAACGCAAATCTTTCATCTTGTCCTCCTCTGAAAAACACATGTCCCATCCAAGGACCACCAAAACCACCATGAGATAGGAAATACCCCCTGAATGTCAACAGGTATTCCAAGCTGTAACTCAAACACAATTACAGCCCTTACTCCTCCTACCTGGTCGTGCAGCCAGCCAGACTGCAGCAGCAAGACAGGTGTGAAGGTGCTTCCCCCCTCCTTCTCACTGGGGTTTTTGTTTCAAAGTCTAATTACAGCCAATTAAAAGAGCGTCTGTAGTCATGAAGTGCCTCTCTAATGATGCCAGAGTGGGAGCCCAGATTTATCTTCTCTCCCCATGCAACCTTTACCATGAGTTTTCTTCCTGAATGAGACACCACCATATGTGAGATGCAACCACCAGCTCCGAGCAAGTCACCCAGCAAAGGGATTTACACGTAATCCTTCAGCTCCCTCCCTGGGCAGGAAGATGTGGCAGCCCAAACTCCTCCAGAGCACATGAACAGCAGCAGACTGCGGCTGAGAGATGAGGTTGATGAGGTCTTGCAATATGAGCAGCTTAAGAAGTTACCGCCCCGCAGCCAAGAAGCGGCAGCCGACTGCAAGAGCGCTCCTCCTGCTCATCGCCAAGTTAAACTGGTTGACTACAGCCACCCCCAGCAGGGTCACTCATATTCTTTCAGTCACATGGATATATTGCAAAACCGTGTCCTTACTCTCCCCTTGCAGTTCTGGCTAGCTGGAGCTCACCAAAGAGGCTGGGTTATGTCAATACTACCAGCAGAAGTGACGCAGAGTAGCGGGGAGCCAATAACTTTAAGCAAGAAGATGGCAATTTGACAGTGACTTTTCCTGACATGACTGTACTTAAAATGACAGCCTGGAAGTGTCTCGCTGATGAATGATGCAGCAGATGCAGAAGGCTAATGCTTTGATGCGGTAACAGCTGGGAATATGCCTCTCTCCCTGCTGAAGGTGGAAACTGTTGCTCCTTGATGAGTATATTCTACGGGGTGCAGAAATGCTGAAGCCAAACTAGGACATGCTCTAAGCTGATATAGAACAGCGAATCGTCCAGAAATTTTCCTACTTAACCCACAAGACTAACACAAACAGCAGGGTGAATTCCCTGCATTAAAAAGGCCAAATGTTAAAAATAATGTAATGTTTCCTTTGGCTGTAATATAAACGCATCATTAGCAAGGGGAGCTCACTGACACAGAACTACCAACACCAAACACTTAACAGGGATTCAGGGACAGGTTCAATATTTATATGACAAAGAAAGTGCCATCACGGTTTAGCAGTGTTATAAAAAGTCAGAAAAGGCTTTGTTGTGGTTTAGGATGCAAGCTCACCCCTGAACACGGGTTACTGGGCTACACCACTTCACCACAGGATTTCTTTGCACCTTTTGCTGAAGCATCTGCCCCTGGACAAGACGAGACACGGGTTCAACGCAGTCTGACAGCTCCTCTGCTTCTATGCCCTCGCACCAGAGCTGAGGAAAGTGGAGTTAAGCAGCACTGGGGACCCACCAAGAGACCGTCCACTTTTACCCCGCCAGAGGCAGAGCGTGGTCATCTCCAGCATGGTCACACAAGGCTCTGCACAAAATGGTCAGGGGGCTCTGGTGCTTCCAGCCTCTTAGCTCACCTCAAATCCCCAACCACCCCAGGCTGCAAGCCTGTCAAAATCTCCCAAACGCTGCGGGTTCAGATGGGAAATCTCTGAGGACACTGACAATTCAGTGAGAGGCAGCCTGATCCAGACCACTGCTCTACCCTGTATCGTCTCACTGGCAGTGGCCAGCGATGCTTCACAGTACAGAAACACTGGGACTAGGTGCTAATGGATATAGGGACATGACTGACGGAGGCGCCTGAGGGACAGGCTACAAGAATCAGGTCTCCTGCATGACTACTGCAACCTGCAGTCCAACCTGCCATCACACAAGCTTGCCTTAAGCTCTGCCCTAAGCCTCACCACCTGAGACACTTCCACCCAGTCTGCCGTGTTACGGGCTCCACCTCTTCTCCACCAAGTCCTGCTGAGCTCTTCCCTCCATCAGATCCCTCCAAGCTCTCTGTGGGCTCAACTGATTGGATTTAGAGGTCTGTGTGATGCTCAGCCTACTCGCTTGGCTCACATGGGATTTCCATGGAGCAACACCACGAGAGAGGTGAGCAGGATTTAACTCTACAACCAGGCATTCGTGTTAGAGCAGCACAGCCAAGGACAGGGCACCCTGCCGTCCCCTGGCCATTGCTCCTTGAAGTCTAATTGTTTAATTAAATGTTTGACTCGGTAATACAAATGTAAGGTTTCCAAGTAATCTCCCAGGAATCAGCTCTCTCGCTAGCCAATTCTCCACTTACACCTGACCCATTTGACAGAAGTCAATATTCAGTAACAAGTGTAATTGGCAAAGGAACCTACCCAACCACAGAGGAGCTTGCCAGCCTTCCCCTGCAGCTCCGCTCTGCTCCAAAGAGCTTTCACTTCCCCTGCAATAAACAGTCTTCAATGACTGGAAACACTACAGGTTCCTGCAAATAGGCTGACATCTTGTGCCACCTCTCGGGAACCCAGCACTTAAACCCCGCAGCAGAGAAGGGTCGGGGAGAGGTTCTGGGCTAGCAGCGCGGAAGAGGAGCGCGACTGCCAGCCCGGCACTGCCGCTCCGAGAAGGGCTGGCTGGAGCGCTCCGTCTCCTGCGCAGCCCGATGAGATGGGTTTTATTGACTGCCGGCGTTGTTCAGCGATTGATTCACAGAGTCGCCTCGGGGACTCGCAGACTGACTCAGCGACGGCAAGGACTGGAATAGCTCCGTAGTGCCTGCCTTCCTCCTGCTCCCCCAGGTTCACCAGAGCCATGCCTCCCCAAATCTGATCCCTCAGGAAGGCCAGGAGAGAGTCTCTACCCCACGCACACCCCAAATCTCATATGTACGCATGCATGTACACACACACACACACACGCTTTCAACACTTAAGCCTGTTTTTGTCAGACTATTGGCAAAACAACAGTTGGCTTCAGCTAGCAGTGTGGGCACAAGATCTGCTCAGGAGTTGGGCTGCATTAGGAAGAGCATTGCCAGTAGGTCGAGGAAGGGATCCTTCCTCTCTGCTCCGCACTGGTGAGGCCATGTCTGGGTGCTGTGTCCAGCGCTGGGCTCCCCAGCACCACAGAGACAGGGACATACTGGAGGGAGTCCAGCAAAGCCAAGAGACAATGGGCACAAACCAAAATAGAGGAATTTCCATTTAAATATTAAAAAAAAAACCAAACATTTTTATTGCAAATGTGGTCAAACACTGGAACAGGTTGCCCACAGAGGCTGTAGAGTCTCCAGCCTTGGAGATATTCAAAACACAACTGGACGTGGCCTTGAGCAGCCCACTCTAGTTTACCCTGCTTTGAGCAAGGTAGGGTTGGGACTAGATCTCCAGTGGAGACCTCAACCATTCCGCAAGTTCTCACCAACACCTCTCTCACATTTTCTCTAACCACCAAAGTAATGAATCCTATAGAGAAAACAGAGCTGCCACTCCTTTTAGGGCAAGGAGGTGGTACTCCCAGAACGAAAAAGTTCAAAACTGTTCTGGAGACTCACAGCAGGGGAGCAGCTGCCATTCATCCTCTGCCCAAACTTCAGTTCCACCCAAAGCCACATGAGCAGAGGCCATTTCTGGATCCAGGACCCTGTGTCCTCTCCTCAGGACAACCCAACCAACAGCAGGCTAGCTCTTCCTGAGTGGAAGCAGCAGCTCCCTGGTAATAGCAGAGAGGTGGGGGGAAATCAAATCCATAAATTTAAGGGGAAGTGATGTACCAGTGCCCTCTGCTGCTGACAGTTTTTATTCCCTGCCTGAACAAAACCCTGAGGGCTCAGAAAGCCCACTCTCTGCTTCAGATGCTTGCTGCTAAGTAGTAATAGCATTGCTCAACTCTAGGTTTGTGTCTGTGCCAGCAGATCAAGAGCAGAAAGCATATGAAAAACTGCAGCACTTACAGCCACGCTACAGACTCACATAGCACGGAGAGGCAGGCGGGAGGGATCCACGCTCAGCTGGCTACATACAGGCAGCGCGGGATTGCAGGCTCTTGCTGCACAACCCCTCACACGCCCCTTTGCAGCCCACGCTCCCTGCAGCAACTCCCCCTCCTCAGAGACCCCTGGACATTTTTTTATTTGAGGACTCACCTTGAACCTGGGCACTCAGCTTCTCTAGGTCCTGCTCTGTCATGTGGGAAAATCTGCAGTTGGACCCAAAATCACACTGTCCTGGAAGAAAAGTCACGGAGCTCCACGAGAACCGCACACGCAAGGTCCTCCCTTGTAAATGTGCATGCAAACCCAAGATCCGTTGCCACCTCCATGCCAGACACACAGGCCCAAGCCCTTCACTCCCTCCAAGACAAACACACATACCAGGGCTCTCCAGAACAGCCTTGGGCTGGCTCGCGAAGGAGCTGCCGGAGCTCAGGCAGTTATTTCTACCTCAGAAGAACGCACCTGTTTGCAGAAACTTCCGACACGGTTTCTTGGTTTGCTCCTCTTGCAGGATAGCGGCAGCATCTATGGGAGACAAAGGACAAAACAGGGTAAAGATCTCTTGCACAGCAATACCCCATCGTATCATGGTCCCAAACAGGTCAGTTCCCTAGTGGGAAGTCACTTTACGTGACAACCATGAACTTAAGCCACAGACAAATTGACAGTTAACAGTCCCTATCTGTACCCTTGGCTTCAGCTTTTCACTGGCTTGCTAATATCACCTTCTTTGCTTTCTGCTTCATGCTTTCTCCCCACGCCAGTAGGGGAAAACAAGCATGACAGAAAAGCAAGGACTCTGCAGCACTTTTGTGCAGCAGAGAAAGACCAGGCAGACTCACAGAGCTCTCACAAAAACTGTGTGAGGCCTCACAGAACCGTGTGCTGAGTCTCCAGTGGACACCACTGAAATGGTCCTTCACCTCCTGGAGATGTCCTGGAGAAAGCGAACCCCAAAGACACAGCAGCTCCCATAGACTGTGGAAGAACTTGCACTGGCTGATGCCACGCCACAGAGTCTGGAGACAAGAGGAGATGACCCTCCTAATCAGGGATGGGATGAGGAATTTTATCAATCAGAGGGAAATGAAGGGTTGCAGCCTGGTGAGAAGAAAAGTGCTAAGTAATCTGCCATCACTAACCCAGCTAGAACTGTGCTGGGCTGGGGCTGTTGGTCCTCCACACTTGAGAGCCTTTCCAAATTCCATGTATGGTTAAGCAGACAGCAGAGCTACCCAGAGCTCCACAGGGTATTCCTCACCTAGCTAGCCAGGAGACAAGCACAGCCTGCAACTCCTGATCCTGAGGAACCAGAAGGAAGCAAAGGAACATACAGGCAATGGTTTCACAATCAGTTGAACCCGAACTAAGTGTTTGCTACTGCTCTCAGGACCCTGGACACACATTCCCACCATATTCCTCAGGCTGGCACTAAAACACATGTAACTGTGTGGCGAGCCGGGTCAGAGCACTGAGCTAGGTGAGAAGAGTCCTGTTAAACAGACAGAGGACACAGGGCTTTCCTTCAGCACATCCTAATGCAGCCTCCAGCCCCAAAACTCCAATCCCTCCTCTGCCGAAGCCCCAGTGCACCTAGCCCTCCTCCTCTGCTCCCTTGCTTGGCTAAGATAGGTTTGAGCGTACCCTGCTTTGAGCTGCTTCCCCAGCCCTCTCACCCTTCTGGGGTCTCCAGTCAAGCAGTCGCATCCTCAGCCTCTCCCACGGCCACCCTCAGAACCAACATCTCCACCCAGCGCAGAGCACTGCTGCCAGCTTCCCACCCGTTCACACACCCCATGTGTACAGCCTGCCTTCCAGCCCACTTTCTCCATCTACACCCTCCGCCCCTGATATCTGTTGCTCCTTGCATGTCAGAGATCAACTCTGGTTTGCAGAAGGCACCTAACACACCTTCAGAAACCATAACCCACTTTGTTCTCCCAGGTCTCGTCTCAGATTTGCCCGTAATGCCAAGAGAGCTTTATCTGCAACTCCTGTTCTCAGAAACAACCTCCCTATCTCTTCCACCTCATTTCAAGTCCCAGCTGACGTCTACAGTTTCCCCTTCCCACATCCAGGCACATGAGGGTTTTGCCTCTGAGACTGCTCGACAGCAACAGTATCAAGCCCACAATTTACTGGCACAGACAATCTGAACATAAATCATCAGTGCTGATTTATTTTAGCTATTCCCCCCGCCCCACACCTCATCCATCACCTCCCCAGTCCCAGAAAGGGAGTGGCAGACAGTTGGTAGTACTCACCTCGGAATGAGTCGTACCAGACTCTCTTAGCCCTGAGATGCTGCACTCCATTGAGGTGTTTCTTCCTGTTGTGAAGGTTGTCCTGAAAGGACCTGTCACAGTAGTCACAGAAGTATCTTTTCCCCATCTCTCTTCTGGCAGAGCAGCATCAGTGCAGCCTGGGAAACATCAGACAGTTCCTCGGCGCCCAGCCATGCCTGCCCCGGGGATGGAGGATCCAAGATTTACAGCGCCTGCTTCCAAAGGAGTAGAACTCAAATCATTTAGGGTTGGCAGGCAGAGAAAGAAGTGAGACCCAGTAGTATACATTCTTGTCCATCAGAGACTGGTAAGGCAGCATCTACTGCATGTATATGGGAGAACAGGCTCAGATCTGCATTTCTTACCTCCGTTACTCAAAGCAACAACGTCTCTGCTGAAAGAATTCTCCTTTCCTGAGTGTGCCGGAGTTCAGATCACACAAAGCAGAGACCCCAGAGAGCCAGCGGCTCCCAGCCACCACCTGCGCCAGGGAAGGTGCAGCAAACCATCCAGTGTGCAAACAGGAGCTAGAGATCCATGCCACAGCCTCCATCTGGGGCCCCAGGACTTTAACCCAAGACCACAGACAACCTCCACAAGCTGCCATGCGAGAGGAAGGAAATTCCCCCGTGTCCATCTCTACAAGGTAAGGAAGAAACTCAGCAACTCCACAAAGCTGAAAAAAGCTGATCTCACCTGTACCACAAGTGGGAAGCTGCATTACAAACACTAAAGGACATAACATCTTGTTTAGTTCACCTAGCCCTCTTTACTCCTATACATCAAGGACTGCTCTCCTCATCTTCCGCAGCCTATGGCAGCAAGATGTGTCTGCTTCAGCGAGTACAAGACGTGCAATAACTAAGATCACAACAGCCTTACAGCCAGGAGGAAAGAACCCCCAACTCCACGGCCACTGAAAGCAACCTGGAGATGCCCGGTCCTCCTCCTCCCACAGGGAAGAGGGGCTTATCACACATGGATTTGGAGTCCGGAGACTCTGCTGCGGAGTATCGAGAAGTAAGAGGAGAGAATTTGGGTGCTCTTCTCTGTGCTGAGCCTGGAGCAGCCCAGACCCCGGTAGGGCAGATGGGCTTTGTGATGAAGTGCAGCCCTGTCCCCACCTGCTGTCCTTGCTGGAGGTGCAACAGATAGCCTGAAGGAGCTGTAAGTTCTCTCCCAAGTGATATAAAGGTACCTGATAAATGCCAAAGATGGATGGACTGGGAGATAAACTCCAAAAGCAATTCTCCAGTTTTTGACACCTTGACAGCCAAATGCGTTTAAAAAATGGCAGGGAAAGCAGCGCAAGAAATAAAGATCTTATAAATAAAACAGGGTCAGAATCAATCACAGCTTCCCTAACGATTCCTCAGAATCAGCGGGAAGAGCAGCGGCAACAGGCAATCCCTCAGAGTCGAGCACGCTGAGCCGAAGCAGTTCTGCCAAGCCCTCCTGCCAGCCATCCATCCTGGCACCTCATGAGCAACTGCGCCAAACTCCCTTCCTTCCCCCACTCCCAAGAACCGCTGCTTCAAAATCACGTCCCCAGAAATCTCTCAGTCCACACACAAGTTAAAACGTAGTCTCCTCCATCTGCATCCAGTTACATTCAATAGAAAGACCACCTGATTTTTTTGAATCGGCTTGCAAACCTTCACACCGAAGGTAAAATGTTCAGAGACTCAACTGAACTTGAAATCTGTTTGTTTTAAGGTCCTTTCCTCCTTCTCCAGGTGAAATACCTTGTTGGGAGGCGGTGCTGATCAGCCAGCCACCTCTCCCTGACACGACTGCAAACTGCTTCACCTACAAACACGGTCAGACCTGGCTCCTGCTTGGAAGGTGTAAACCAGCTGTGGAGGGCTTGAGGTCTGAAATTGTCCTACTCCAGCCCAAGAAACCAAAACCAAGTGCTGCTTAACGAACATGAAGCCATAATTTTCCTCTGTCCTTTACTAGATCATTCCAGAGTTTCACAGCCAGCCTGGCAGCCAGCTTTGCTGCACTGTGGTGGGGCTGCTGGAATCCAGAGGGAACGCTCTTACCCTCAGCGTCTGGCCCACTGGCAGGCTCTGCTGTGGCTTTTAAGTATTGAAAAATCCCCCTTCTGCATCTTGTGCCATAGTCTCCCAAAGTTTCTGGTAACATAAAAGCTTCCTGCTTCAGCTGCTGGCTCCTGCACTCCCTTTCTGCAGAAGCGGCTGCTGTGAACGGGGAAAACAAATGAGATCCTGCAGCGGTCCCACGCAAGTTTCCACAGATCTCAATGGGAATTCTGCCTGCAGAAGCCCAGCAGCAGCCAGCCTTTGAAATCATATTTCAAACTTTTCCTTTCATCACCCCGATGGCAATAATTGCAGAAGCTCGTTCCTCCTCCTTCCCCAATAATGTAGGCAGAAAGCTCCTACAGATTTCAGGCAGCCAGATCCCACACCCCAGGGGTGCCGGCTCCCAAATTCTCCTAGCAATTCCCACTGCAGGGGATGAACAGAATAAAAAAAAAGGCAAATAGAGGAGCATCGGATTCTCCCAGAGATCGCCCCCTCCAAAGATTACACTGAACACTTATTTCCATCTTTTTAAGAATTCAATTGCATGGATTATCTTGGCTGGATTCTGACAACTCTCTGCAGTATCAGCATCCACAGCGCTTTGCGCTGAACTGGTACGTAGGAATAAAAGCCGCTTCTGAGCCACACTGGCTAACCTATTTCCATTTTCCCGAACGGCTCAAACAGTAAACAAAGAGCATTATTCAGTTGAAAACAGAGATGTTTTCTAATTAAATCCATCTTAGTCATTACGAAATAAAGTAAATCTAGCTGCTTTATAAAGAACTGCTTCAGCTTGGCCACTTCCTCTTAACATTTCTAGACCCTAATTTGCAATTGAATTCAGGCGAATAGACCTCTGGACCCAAAGGCAGCCATAAATGATTTCAGACAGGCTTTGTACCAGCTTAAAAGTCTTTCTGCATAAATCCAAATACAAAAAAAACCCAGAGCTTTGTCTTGTATCTCAATGCTTAAAAGTATTAACAAAAAAATCCTCTGCTGTAAGCCTCTTGGAGCAATGTTTTATAAGAAATAGCATGTTCCACGACACCTAGCAGGTGTTTCGCTCATCTAGCTGACATGCTTGGTAAAACTCCAGGCAAGATCTCATGTGCACCATTCGACATTTTCCCTTCTCAAATTGCTGCCAAAACACTCCACCTTGCGCTCTGCTAGCTACAGATTTTATTTAGGACTCTCCAGGGGTTCTTCCACTGATTTCCCCGAGATGTGAACAGAGGGAAGAAGATGACCCAGAAACGGGCATAGGGCAGACTTGTTTTCGTCTGGGTGTAACGGCTTTTCTCCACGCCGAACCCTGAGAATTGCTGCTGGGCCTTGACCTCAATTTCCTGCTTTCTTATAGCCCAGGCTCGGGGCCATTTCAGCCACTTTGGGTATCCAGACAGATGTGAAGTTAATTAAATCCAAGTGTTGAGCTGATGATACTCAGCTGCCAATTTAGACGTGGTCATATCTCTGTGGGAACACGCAAAACGCTGGCAGAGTCTGCACCTTCACAATGACAGAGGGACAGATTCTGATTTCCATTACGCCCAGTGTAAATCCAGAGCCACCGGCTCGGTTCGGGATTAACGTCAACCTGACTGTTACACAACCCCCCCCCAGGGGTAGCAGTTTATAGGCTATTGGGGAGATTTGTCTTAGAGACAATCCCTAGCAGTTAACTTTGAAAAATAATAGTTGAGCTTTTCAACGGGCTGGCCTAAGGGACGACTCTATACACAGGGCACGGGAATACGCTAGGCACCTTCCAGCCTCTGTAGGGGCTTCCAGCACAAGCAGAGCTTTTACCCTACCCCAGAAATCCCACAGTAGCTACATGCAGGGAACCAAACATAAATAAATTAAGAGAAATGACTATGCGGCCAGACTACGCGTTCTTCCTGAGCAGCCGAGACAAATGAAACGACAGAGCAAGTGTCACTTGAGGATCTGCTCTGAAATTTAATGTAGGTGCTCACTTAACAACAATCCGGCTGCGGGATGACTTCAGTTTTAAGATTCCCCCACCCTCTGTGCCTGTCCTCCCTTTCCAAACCCAAACCTCTCTCGCTTTTCCACCGGTGCTGGAGCTACCCTGGGGCCCCTCTGCCCTCGCCAAGGTGAAACAGAAAGAAAAACACGAAGAGAGGGCGGCAAACGGGAACGTTTCCACTTTGGCTATGCCACAGGGAGCCATGTCACGCTCTTCTCGAGGCCTCTGGAGTGGCCGACTGAGCGTCCTCCAGGATTTAGGAGCCACAGCATCCACCTCCCGCTCGGACGACGCTGATGATGCTTAATGCCCTCCGCAGCTGGCACAAACAAGAAGAAACCGCCCAAATTACTCCCGCCCCCCCCGGGGGTCAGCAGAAGAGAACTTTAACGCCAAACCCTCTTTCTTCCCCTTTCCACACGGGCAGAGGGGGTCTCCTACCCCCCAGCAAGGCCCACTGCCCCCGCAGCCGGGGAGGGCCTCACCCGACAGGCATCATTCTGCTCAGAGACGAGATGAGGCCTTCAGCCCCCCGGCCTGCGCTAACGCTGCAGATTTCACCTCAAAAACAAAAACACACCAGAAAATAAAGACTGGGGTTGCCCAGCGGAAGCCGCTGAAGGGAAGAGGTGCCAGGAGGGGACGGTGCTTCGACCCGCAGCCCGGGTAAGGCCCTCAAACCGCCTCCTCCGCTCCGTCGACACTCACCTCCCGCCGGCCCTGGGCCGTAGGCCGCGCCGCGCCTGCCGGGAGCGCCGCCTACATCCCCCAGAAGGCCCCGCGGCGGGCGGGAGTGCCGCTGCCTACAACCCCCAGAATGCTCCGCGCCGGCGGCGGCGCATGCGCAGAGTGCTCGAGCAAGATGGCGCTGCTGCGGCAGGGGGGGAGCGCGCTGTTCCGCCGCACCTCCACCTTCGCCCTCACCATCGTCCTGGGCGCCGTCCTCTTCGAGCGCGCCTTCGACCAGGGCGCCGACGCCATCTTCGAGCACCTCAACGAGGGGGTAAGGAAGGGCGGCGACGCGACGCGGGACCACCCGGGCGTAGGCCCGGCCTTGAAGGTCAGCCCGGGCCCGCGGTGGGCGCTCCCCCGGCTGAAATGCGACCTTGGTTTCCCCGA